CACACACACACACACTATGTAATATATATACATATCAGTGTGAGTTAATGCAACTAGGGGGAGTGTAATGTAATATTAGGACATTGCTTCGTGCAAGCTAATGTGTTTAACTAATTTATGAATCATCTGTTGTTTCTCACAAGATCCCAGCCATTGGAGCAATGTATGAGCTTCCCAGGCCTAGCATGAGATGGATGGTGTGACTCAATGGATTTTCTGGTGAAACTGTAGGGAGTCACCATAAGTGGTTTTTTCAACATCTAACCTGGAGGGTGTGTGCTGGGCAGCGTGGTTTACTACTACGGCATGCGGGATGGCCAAACTCGGGCTCGGGATCTATACGCAGCACCGCAAACCACGCCAGGCAGGGAAGACGGAGAGTGGAAAGGCAGGCGAGGCAGACCCGGCGACTCCGATCCTGTCGCTAGAGTCCAGTGGTTGAGGCGGGGGCGCGAGAGAGAGCGGCATGTGATGCGGTATAATCGAGAACCGAGAAAAACAAAAGTGCCCCTGTTCGTGTGGTAGAGTGAAAGGCCGAGACCGGAGTCCAGTGGCACGATTTTAAGTTGCGGGAAGACGAAGCGGGGAGATCCCAGGCGACGCGCCGCGATCCAGAGTAGGAAAGTTGGCCGGAGGAGAGGGCAGGCGCTCGGCGGTCGGAGCAACAGCGAGCCATCCCCGGGTTGCTTTCCAGACACGCCCGGCCCAGCGGAGATGGTAGCACCCAGTGGCTGTCAAACACGCGGGGGGTGAACCCGAGAGGCAGCGGCGGCGTCCGATGGGGTGCGGAGGTTTGAAACGCGGGCCGGGTGAAGTCAGCAGTGCGGGAGGCGAGGAGGCGTAAGACCATTCCGGGTGCGAATTTGTATAAGCGACAAGAGATATAGACCTCGGGAACTGCCCGCCCCCGGGGCGGAGGGCCATGGATATAAGATGATCAGGCCCAGCGGGGCCGGCAAACTAATCCGGCGTTGGTGTCTGCTGGGTGCGGGAAGTTAACTGGGGGGGTGGCTGGTGAGCTGCAAGGGCCCGTCCTGCTCATCACTCGAGTGACCCGGAGCCCAAGCGGACTTTGTCCGCAAGCTGGCTTGATTCAACCTTGAATGTGAGTGGGACGTGCCGTTGGCGGAACCACCACTTGGAGGCTCTCGAAAGATGGGACTTGTTAAGGAAACTGACCTGTCCACCGTCGAGGCCGTGGTTTCAGAGTCCGCCCAGAGAGCGACGAGAGGACCAGACATCTGCCGTGTGCCGTGTTGGATAACCAAGAGCCATCTCGTCGAGTGCTCCCCTCCATAGGGAGTGTACCCACGGAAGGCGCAGGCCATAAGGGTCCATTCCCAGCGATCCACGTAGGCACGCGTACTCAGTTGGCTGGCATAACAAGAGACCCCAGTCCGACCCGACTCTAGATGGGGACGCACTGGCTCTGGGCGCAGCCCCTAAAAATGATTTCCGGTGACTGTGCAGCGGTCACGCGCAGCGTCAACGTCGGTGTTCTGGACCTCTTAGCATGACCCCCCGGAGTGCATACCCGGTAATCGAAGAGTGTTGCCTCGCGCCTGTGCTCCGGCACAGCGGGCTGCGGAGGGTCCTCCCTGCTACTAGAGAGGTGGCTCCCCAGGAAGCTGCTATCGCCACCAAGCATCTGTGTCCCCATCGGACCGCCAATGTCCCTCCGCCAGTACGTGTCCCTGCTCACGAGAGCCGGTAGCTGCCATGTTTGTGTGCGCCACGGGACTTCCACTGAAGCGACACTCGCGGAGTCCAGTCAGTCTTCCCCTACAACCTGGCAAAAGCACGTTACAATCTTGATCCACTCAGCTCGACGTGGCGGACCGTCGCTCCGGCCGCCTGGGGGTCCTGAGTGCAGCCCTGTGGATTCAGTGCCCGGAGAGCAGGGGGGTGAGTTCGAACATATACCCAGCTGGTCGGCAGTATGACGACGTTATGTGTGCGTGTAATTATTTCACGTCATGGTGTGATGACTCTCTGGGTCTGCTAGTTTGGTGGGCTGACAGACGAAACATTACACCTGCCTAATATGTGCAACGTCCTGGGACCATACCCTCCGGCGTCACGTAAGTGGAGGAGGGCACATTCCTCTGAACCTCCCCTGAACCTCAGATGCAAACATCCTCTATCTGCCTACACACCAGGCTGGGCAGAAGGAGTTTGTTTGAGTTAAACTTAATAAGAGGACCAGGAGGAGGATGGAATAAAACCACACACAGAGAAATTCCCTGCTGCACAAACCAACCTCTCTTCCCCCTGGCCTGGTGTAAGAACCCGCACTGCACGCATAACCGGATCAACAACCCTGTCACAGCTTCTGCCACAGACATGCTTCCTCTCTCAAGCTCTCTCTACCACCCGTGTGGTATTCTTACATATCTATCTGCTGTCGCCTTATTACACGGCTGTTGGTGCACTAAGGACATATCGTACTATCTGTCGCTACTTGTAGAGGTATTTCGATTTGGACTGCTCGCGATCGGCGTCCGCGCCGGAGATAATCGTATTGTCTGACAAAGTTTGCGGAGCATGAGTGCTAGTGATTGGGTTTCTCTTCCAACGATGATGTAATATGGGCCAGGGTTGACAGTCCTCAAGGTGCTTGGTTGGTGCCAGGCCCCGTATACCGCCATGTAGTAAGGAGCCCCGTGTCAGGTGCGAGGGCGTGTTTTGCACGAGTGTTGGTGGTTTTGCCGGGGTGGGTCGGGATCTTTGTTGTGGTTGTTGCTTGGTTGATGCTGCCATTACCAAAAGGATGTGGTGGGTTAAACAAGCCTGTTGGGGACTCGCAACCCAACGCGCTCTCGCCTCTATTGAGTAATGGAACCGCGACGCGCTACCGCGTACAGAGATTTGATATCATATATTGTGTAGGAAATATATGTTGCTCTATATATCTACCGAGACACACCCCCGCTCCACGCTCGTGTGTCGCGCATTGGTTGTGGAAATGAGTCAACGTGACTCAGTCCTTTCAAAAAATGTGTGAGTTTTTGATTCTTCGCGCGCAGAAGTGTAATGGCCGGCTTCGAGGCCTTCTTGATATCGACGCACCTCAGTATCCGGCGGTATAAGAGGGCGCATAGTTTAGCGATGCGAATGCCCAGTTAAAATTTCCACATGATCCCCTTGAAACCTTGTCTGATTGCATGGTTTGATTTATTTTCGTGGTTCAAATCCTCGCAATGATATTAGCTTTCATCGACCTTTCGAACAAATATACATTGCCAAATAGGAAAAGCATCACTCTTACGATGACCTGAAGCTTTCTTAGAAGTTAGTTCCACTTCCGCGCCCGAGTTTACGTTTTTTTCCTCTCCTGCCAGACAGATGAGATGCAGTTGGTAAAAGCTTCGGAGAGCGTGGAAGTCATGCATGTCCCGCGCGCCAACCACTCGCCGTCTCCTTTCTCGTGAGTCAAAGAAGAGGCGTTGTATGAGAAAAATCCTCTGTTGCATGACTTAGATTCACCCATACCGCTGGAATGAGACCCTCCTCTCGCTCCCTTAAAACACCCTCAGGATGTCTCTTCCACTGGGAGTGTTTCGAGTATCTACCGAATTCGTACTTCGCAACTAGCATCGTGGTACACTTCACGAGCATGAACTCACCCACTGGTTAGAAAAGACCCCGATGAATCGTCAGTCTGAATGTGCATAGCAAATTTGAAAAACCTTTCGAAATGTTTACCTTCAAACCATTTCTATTTTTTTTATTAAGTTAAGTCCGGCAGTTGTTTTTCGCACAGCAGACCAGTGTTCACCCTGGGTCTTTTGGATATCCCCTTGATTTAGTTTTACCAGATGAAAAGATATGGTATACACACAGTTGGAAAGAACATGGCGGCCCCTTTGCGAGCTTGTGCGCGCGAGGCGTAAATGTGCTCCGGTGTATATTTGTCAGTTGAGAGCAGGGTGTTAAGTTCGAGACCCTCCTACCAGCCTGATAGGATACAAGTCTCGCTCTTGTCTTCGCTCGCGCCGCCCTCCTGTGTGTGTGTGTGTGATTAATAGCCCCAGCAAACACTGGCTGCTATTAATCACAGTATCTCAACAATGCCTATTAATAAGTGATTTATCAGCTCTGAAACTCTTTTATTTCCTGGAGCAGGTTACAGCAAAGAAAACTGACACCATGAAAAGTCAAATAAAAAGCACTGAGATTATTTTCACTGGAAAATGTGACCTGTGGGAGTAATTTAAATGTTACGGTGAAAAACAGTTTGAGTGCAAAGACATTAAAGGTATTCAAATTCAGAGAGTTTCAGACAGAGTTTCACCAGAGTTAGTCTGTGTAACACTGCCCTCCTCTGACTGGTCAGTGGACACTTTCTGCACTATACTACTTATATTTAGACTGCAAAGTGTTTTTACTACAGTTAGTCCACATAACAAAGCAGTATCCATACAACAAATCAATAATGTGTCCAAGGTTTCACATCTATACGACGTTTTACACGTGTGAGGCTGCAACTAAGAATTATGTTCATTATCAATTCATCTCTTACTTGCACTTATTTGTTAGATTTAGTGATTAAGTATTCGGTCAAGAAGATGATGGTGAGTAGTGACAGTTCCTTCTTGTTTTGGTCTGACCTTTGTACAAAGATACAAAACGAATCCTCACAATTAGAAGCTGAAACGAGCTATTTTTTACTTACTTTAACACTTAAACAGACAAATAGATAAATCAACTAATCATTTCAGCACTAAATAAGTGCCCATGTAAAAACACAGCTCATACAAACATTATGGGCTTTAACTCTGGTCCTGATTGATAGATTGATTGAATACACTAAAGGTGAATTATATGTTCACAAGATTCATCCAAATACAGGCAGCTAATCACAATTTTACATTCAAAAAGTTGCTGCAACCTAAACTGTGAAATGGCGGCTTTTCCCCCCTCCTCCCTTTACAAAACACATTTTCAGCATTTTACAGGACAGATACGAGCAGAGCATCCTGGAAACAGTCACTGACATTACACACAGTGAGCTGCTCAGTGGCAGTCGCTGTCATTTCTGCCGGCTCCCGAAAGGAACAGAAAGGAAACCAGACAGGAAGGATAACAGTGGAAAGAACAGCTCATGGTGAACCACACACACACACACATATTTGAGTACATTCTTGTGTAATGAACATTAAATAATCATACATAATGACTCACACACCGGTGGAGGGGGAGAGAGTGACTGACAGTCTTGTGCCACACTGACATTAAATGGGTTGTTTTACACACCCATGTGCCTAAGCACATAGTCAAACAGTGACACACTCTCTATGGGAACACACTCACTCCTTGGCAAACATATAAAACACTAAAAAATGATTGATGATTAAAAGGACAGTGGCGTCTATATGGATCATCATTTGCCACCCAGTGGAAAACATTACATGCAATATCCTTTGTCCTTAAAATAACAGCCACTCTGCATCATTAAAGGCAGGTTCAGTAAGTTTAAGAACAGGCTTCCTTCACATTTTAAAGCCCAGTTTGTTTACTAATGTAAATTTAGTGAAAGCTCATATACAGAACTTCCTAAAGCTGACTTTAAACAGGCAAATAATAATAAAAGAAAACATACTAAGGTTCTGTATTACTCTAATATAATGTGATATCTTATTCACTGTGCCTTTTGGAGCTAAAACTCACATTACACCATTGGGAGAAGTAAAAATACAGTAGCCAAAAACTCACCAGAGAGGTCCTGAGTTGCTCCTCTGGTGTGTGTGAAGCAGCTGTTTAAAAGGCTGGCAGTAATGTGGAGGGTTATAACTTAGTGTGAGAGGAGGAGGAGGAGGAGGTGGCTGCGGCTTATCAGCGTGTGCAAGTGCTGCTGTGTGAAGTTTAAGTATCAGCATGTGGTTGAAGGGTTGAAGTGAAAGAAGTTTCCTTGAAGTGACAAGAGGAAACGCTCGTTGAAAAAAAACAAACAGGAGCAGCTCCGAGCTAACTTTAGTTACCGTTACTGCAGTTTAACGTAGCTTAACCTTAAGTTAAAGGAGTGGCGTTAAAACCGAGGCTCTCTATTTTAATATACTATTTAATTAGTGGCATGAAATGTTAGATTAAAACTCTTTATATGTTGTAATATAATAAAGACAGCAAAACCAGCCGAGAGTCATGTGGGGTTTTAAACGTGCTGCCTTCAGGCGCTCCCCGGAATTTTGAGCGTTAGCCGCTCAAGCGCCTACATTCTCCTTCCTTTTGTAATTAGGTTGCTCCCGTCCTGTGTTTTCTGACGGCACTTGAACGCATCATAAACGTTTTTTTTTTTCAGTTTGTGTTTTAGCTTTTTATTTTTTAATTAATAAATACACATTCGTATCACTCCCATGCTACGTTTTATTCCCGCTAATTTTGAAAAATAGTGCATTTAATTTTCAATAAACGCAAAACGTAACAGTACTTTTGTCCCGTCTGGCTTTCCGTAGATGCGGAAGCAGCGTTTCACAGGCAGCAGGGCCCCGGCGTGACATTCACCGGGTTGTATAAACGGAGGAGTACGACCACCTTCGTGTCCCACCGAGCAGAGATCAATATGAGAGTACTGAAAGCGGGTCTGTGTTTGACAAAGACGCATCTTTTGGCACCAGGAAGCGTCACTCTCAAAAAGGTAACATTACACTGCACTTGTACAGATTTTAACTTCAAACCTCGACTAACTATTTCCCAATCGGGAAAGGGGGAGGTTGAATATCGATCTTGCTGTGGTTTATCTCCACAGGTGCTCATCAACAGCTGTCGGACATGCTCCTCCGGTATCTTCCCCAACGAGAGGATCCGCAACATCGGGATCTCTGCTCACATCGACTCGGGGAAGACCACCCTGACCGAGCGTGTCCTCTACTACACCGGCAGGATAGCGGAGATTCACGAGGTAG